TCCCTACTCAGCTAGACGCCTGCCCTGGGTCTGGCTGGGCTGGGAAAAATGTTTCCCAATTCAGATGTCTGGGTCTGGTTGGACAGGGAAGACCCCACCTTCCCCGCCCAGCCAGGTGGGCAGGGAAAAAGCAGGGAAATCACACTGCACCATCAAGGGCAGGACAAGGGGTGATGTGTGTGTTGTCCAGGGAGGCAGATCATCTGCTTCATTGGGCTGTTTCTAGCTAGAGAGACCAAGCCACTTAAGAGTCCTTTACTCTTCTTCCTGAGGGAGAGGTGGAGGACTGGGATGCAGGGGGTCCAAGGGACTGGCCAGACCTTCAAATTGCCCCTGGGATGCTTCTATACCAGAAAACCTGCTGCATCAATTAGCAATTTCTTTGTGGCCAATTCCTCAGTTTTGCAGTGGATTTGCTATTTTTATCTCGTTTTAAAGCCTGGCGTGTTCCAATCTGTTGCATGAAATTTGCATATATTTAATGACAAATGTAACAACTGGAGGAGACCTTAGAGACTAACTATCTCAGAGAGGCACAAGCTTTCTCAGGTAGCAGCCTACTCTTTCAGATTTTTGCAGATCTGTTCTAGCATCTGGCAGCCTAGAGGCCTGCAAGACTGCTGGGCCTCTCTGAACCAGTTAGTGTCTAAGCTGCTGCCCTGCTCTGCTTTCTGCCTAATTTGAATTATATCTAAACTAGGAGGCGGGACTGGCTTTGTGGGCACGGCCCTAACCCGGTTGCTGAGGAGCAGAGGGCATGAGGTGACCCATGTTTCACGCCATGCAGGGAAGGACCGGATCAGTTGGGTATGTGATTGGCTGGATCCCCAGAGGGGAAGACTGCGGGGATCTTTACAGTGTGGGGCAGGTTCTCTAGTCTCAGTGGGGTACAGTGATCATGGGAGTCCATAGTTGTAGTGGCCTGTGGAGACCTTTCCTTTTCACCTGGAGATCAGTGCTTGGCCCGGATGTGTCTGGCAGCTCCTGCCTGGGCTGGACAGCTCTGACCCAGCCATTGTTCCAGCTCTTCCTGGTGGCAGCCGCCACACTCCAGGGCTCAGGAGGAAGCTGCGGTCGGAGCCTGTAGCATGGTAAAAGTCACCCAGAGCAGGGCACGCGTGTGCTTAGCTGCCTGGGTCTCGGGGCCAATCTGGGGAGGGCAGGAGATAGGAGAGGCTGGGCCAAGGGGCCAGCCCTGAGAGTAGGGAGTGGGCAGTGTCTCTGTCCTATGTCCCCAGGATGAGCTATCCCGCTCTGGGTTACCCCGTTGTGATGCTGCTGTGAACCTGGCTGGTGAGAATGTCCTCAACCCGCTTCGAAGGTGAGCCCATGCATGCAGAGGGGGATGCAGGGTTGTGTGAAGGAGGATAATCCCTCCTACAAACTACAGCACCTTCCACCTTGGGGTTGGGGGAGAGAGCAGCGAGGGGCATGCTGTGGAGGGGATCAGTGACCTGATACAGGGCAGAGGGGGTGGGATGGATTGGGCCAAGCTGTGTGCGGCTGATTTCTCCATGCCACAGTCAGCCAGATCTGGAGTGTAAACTGTAGGCTACTGACCTTTACACTCTAGGGATTGAGTCTCTGTCACCAC